TCAATGTCAGTTTTTTTTTGTATGTATAATTTTAATTTTCAAAAAATATCAGTCTTATATATGAATGTCGAATAAATGAAATATTTATAGACTAGTTGGTTTATCTTTTCAAGTAATAAGAAATCAACACAATTCTAATTAAAAGAAAAACCAGAGAGAGAAATCTTCAAAAAATTGTACTTATATTTTGAAATATACTAGTCAAATGAAATTTTTTACTCTTACTACATCAAGGTAACGTTCACAAGACAAATATATCGACGCAAAAAGAAAACGCAATTACCAATTGAAATTGACATAAACAAATATTTGTGAAAGAGCTAGCAATATGTATCCTAAAAATAACTGAATGATAGATATTATCTATCCTTCAATTTTGTGATTCATTTATTTTTTACATTAGAAGAACCTTCAACTCAACACAATAAACACTACTTATGTAAACAAAAAACCTAAGAGAAATGAAAAAAAACGATTACCGATGTGATATAATGAAAGCAAAGAACAAAATACAAGCTCATACGACAATATTCTAATGCATATAAAGCAAAATAATACAAATTGTACTCATTCTATTCTAGAAAATTTTGCGATGAAAAAGCAGTAACGATTGGTTTTTTTTCTGAATAATTAAAAAAATTAGCTTTGAAATTTTATTTTTCTGAGAAATCATAATTTTGGACTAAGTCGAAGTTTATTTTATTATTACTTATAAAGAGCTTTATTTGTAAGAATAATTAGTCCACTTCGTAGTACTTACTACTATGGGCGACGCAAGATCAATTTTTTAGAGGAAATAATAAAATTTTGAATAGGCCTATTTTGTCTACACTCCATAATAATGAATATTCCAGCAGTAAAAATTTTGATCACTTGCACTGAATTTTTCTCAAGGGTATGATATATGGAAACTTGAGTATTGTATCATCTGACAGTGCATTACAAGCTTCGGATTAGTGTAATACTTTTTATTACTCAAAACAATTTAGAAGAAATTCAAATTTTGTTTTTGCTATTATCTTTCGTTTACTGACTATTGTGTGCTCACCTTTATATTCATGTAAAAAGGTTGTCTGAAATTTGAATAACTATTCTTTTTTTTTTCTTCAAAAAAAAACAAATTACAAAGATCATAGTCAGCTGGGACGATAGAGATGCCGTTCTTTAGATTGTTGAGCTATTTATTGTTAGCAGCTGGTTGATCGTCTCTTTCGTTTCGAAGAATTAGACAAGTTTGTTTTTCTCTGCAAACATTTTGGTTTTAAATTTAAAAATCTAACTTGTAAATTTTGTGACATTAGTAAAAAAAAATTTACACCTCTATTCCCTATCGTTTAGAAGATTTCCAAGGACCAAACTGCAAAAATAGGGCTTTTACGCATGCAAATTTTCTTCTTTTCTTTTGGAAACCTTAGGCATGATTTTTTGGAAAATCCAGGGTTTCTTTAGCATTGATGATCAATTAGAAAATTCTTTTCTCTCAGCTGAAAGATTATGCATGTATTCATCAATGAAGAAAACTACAACTCTAGATTGAAGTATATTGAAAAAAAATTTGCTTGGAATTCAATCAATACCGAAAAAATCAATTTCGAGAAAAACGCAAAAGAAGTTTTTTTTCTATGTTGTCTTCCTATTATTACGAAAAACTGAGGTGAAGCTTAAATATATTTCATGTCAAACGAAGAACTTATCGATATACATTAAATTGTTCTCATACAAGAGATACATCACGATAGATGATGCTAACTATAATTGTCTTGATATTCGTTGTACTATTGAATAACATGATAAGGATAGAATATAGGTCAAAGTTTCGGTTTCCGTGTGTTCGAAATTTCTTCGCCATTTCAAATGTTGAAAAGTTCGAGTTGGTTTTCAAATGTGGCCAAGATGTGGCGCTACGACTTTTTCTCCTAGTTTGTGCTCCTAGAAAACTCCTCAGATGAAATACGGAAAACCTAAGGGAATAGGTCCAGAACAGTTAATTTTTTATAAACATTATGAGAAAAACATAAAACCTGGCTCTGCTAAGTCGTAGAGCTAATTTTTGCCTCCATTTTGACATCAAGTCCAGCTTTTTAACGTTTAAAATGACGGAAAAATCTGGGATGCTCGGAAACGCAAAAATCAATATTTTTCAGAAAAAACCTATGTAATATCCTTAGATTTCATCATAAAATAAATAAACTATAGTGCATTTGAGAGAAGACACTTTGATCTATCTAACAGCTGTAAATCACAAAATTCATAAGTTCGACTAAAATTGACTTTTTCTGAGGGGCTCCCTTAATGTTGGTTAATCGGAATTCAATTCCTTCAATTAAAGTTACTGAATATTATGCAGTCAGTCTTAGAGAGATAAAAGTCGACTTTACGATTACGCTGTTGGTCCTGATCCCACAATAAACAAAATCATGAAACTATGGGTCAATTCTTCTACATGAACTACTGAATTGTATTGAATATATATATGTTGAATTAAGTAGTCCTACTCTAATATAAACAGAAGGCGTAGAATATTCTGGAAAGCTAATCGCTATCACTTGTAGTGCTGCTGCGTCGCCTATACTTGTTGAATATTACGAAGTGTACTGACTATTCTTAATAAAAAAAGTCTCTTTATGAGGATTAATGAGATAGATTTCAACGTAGTCTGAAAATTCCTGTAATCCTCATTGTGCTACTTGATTAAAAATTAATACATAGCATCAGTATGACTTTTGTCCATGACTATTGTTTCATGATACAAAGTTACGGAAAACAGAACAGATATAATTACATGCAACCGAGAGTTTGTTCATTTGAAAATAATTCCATATATCAAAATCAATATGAAAAGGCAGATTTTTGTAAAATGAATTATATTGGGAAAAAAAAGTATTTATGATCACCAATTTTTTTCGAGTTGTGATTTTTCATTTTCTCTTATCGAATGCTTCTACATGATACATATAATGCCTCATTCACATTCAGTACTATTTCCAGAGATCAAACAAATTAATATGTAATTAAAGCAAGTGTATGAAGAAGCTGATTAATTTTGATTAAAGTAACTAGTGATTAGGGCGCCGTGTATTTTTTGAAAAACAACAAATCTATTCTCGTTTGTGGAAATGATGACTTCAAAATCCGATTGGATTCAGTTACATGTACTCAATTCACTTGACCATGTGACACCTATTGAGTGTGGCTGTGTGGATGTTGGTACAGGTCAAGGCGTGGGTGCGCGTGTGGGTGTGGAAAAAATCTCACATGCACACCCTTTATTGAGAAAGGTCATGCAAAATGAAAGTCGAAAAATTTGGTGATCAAAAACATTCCCATCTATTATATCTATTCAATATACTTTCTAAGAGAATGAAAATGTGGCCTATGAATGACTTTAAATTACAAAAAACTAACAATTCTTTTTTAATGATATGCTTTAAATCGAAGTAAGGCGTGGACTGAAAGTTTCCTAGACAAAATATTTTCCTATTTTTCGTGTATTTTAATATATTAGGAAAGAGCGAGAAGTAATGTATTAAAATCAGAATGTTGTACTCTTTCAGAATATGCACATCGAAGTTTTCTATAACTTTTGACTATTAAACTATAAGTGAAAAGCTAAAAAAAAATTTTTTTTTTGTAAGAAAAAATCTCAAAGGAAATTTGTTTCAGATATGTTACAAAATTTTATCGAATATATTGGAAGATACATAAAATAATTCTCTGCAAAGCGATACATTTGAATAAAAGTTTTTGCAAGCTGTTGAGTTGCAGTAGAGAAATTTCTAAAGTCTATCGCAAGAAAAATAGCTACTTTTCCGATTTTCAGCACAAAATCACCTTCTGTCACAAGTGTGTGGATGCAAAGTGAAGATAGTCATCCACACCATTATTTCAAAGCCATCTTTATTTGAACATCGTTTTCTATATTTTTTATGTTTGTACATAAATACTGTTATATCTCGACTAGTTCGTGTTCATTCAATATTTGATTTCATGTTACAATCACAATTAGACGATGTATTGCAGTTCGAGAAAAATAAACTTACGACATATATAATTTTTGATTGTTTTTTTTTTATTTAAATGAAAAAGAGTCATTAAAATTAAGTTAAACCGTTTTTGAATATTGGTTTTATATTCACATTGATCTAAAGTTTGTCTTAGATTAACTTGATATTTGCTAAGAGATGCGAAAGATAACTTTATCGATGATACCGTGGATTTCTCTGATTTTATGCTCTTTCTCAGTAAAAGTTAACTTCAAAGCGAACTTCGGTTTAATAAATAGAAAAAAAAAGAAGAGAATTTACTAGGGAAATTTTATTCAATCAGAGTGATTTGTATATCAAAATATACATATTTTTCTTAGAATCATGAGCTTATAGATCAATAGACACCTATCAAATCAAATGCATGTTTACAGATCTTTCACGTATTCAATGAGGTGTCGAAATGTCAACAATCAAACAGTGATTCAATAGACTCTTCATCGTATAGAAGCCCTATTTTCGATACTTGTTTACTTTAGACATAAATCTCACCTTCAATAACTACAGTGTGATGTATTATTAATCATACCAATTAGAAAGAGCTCTATGTTCAAAGTAAACTCAGATCCGTCTTTCTAAGACACTGTCATATTTCACATGTAAAAATTATCAGATTTCAATATTTTTTATCTCTTTAAATGGCTATAGTTTATTTTTATATGACTTTTAAAATTTCGTCGAAAATAGATGCCATCAGTTGTCAATGTAAAATTAAACGAACTGAACCATTTTACTTTTGATCAATCCATAGTGAATCTTTCTTCAATCGCTGCATTGTGTAATAAATGATAAAGAAACAATAGGCACCTATATCGACAGAAAAGACATATATATATATATGAATGATATTAATTCATTGATCATTTCTGAAGAAAGTTCACTTTTTTCGTGTGCTCAATTAATTAATTATATTATCTTACTTATTTATTTTTCTTGCCAGTTAAATAAATTTTCATCATGAAACAAGAAATATTAAGACATTTGCCACGTAATTGGAACGTTTTTATTATCAATGGAAACGAAAGACCTGTATCAACAACTATTCGGCAACCTTTAAAAAAATTGCATCCACGATTAACAAGATTACGTCAACCACGTAACTTCAAACCAATGATAGTTCTATTCTATTTCATGAATGGTTGTAAGTGAATAGCACGTCATTCAACTTTCACGTGCAAACATTAGGTTTTACAGTGCTATGTTTCAATTTTCTTTTCTTGGATTATCAATTATTAAGGATCCGCAATAACATGTCTTGATCAGACTATTTAACTAAATTTTGCTCACGTAGGAATTCTAATAATAAATCATCATTATTCAGAAATTTATAAAATAATCTGTTATTTACTGAATTAAATAATTTTTCTGTTTCATTTTCCATCAATTTTCAATTAAAGGGACACTATTCAATATGAACAATATTCTCTCTATTCGATGAACATGACGACTAGCACTCTCTAATTAGATAATGGCATACTTTCCATGAAAAAGAGCATTAGCTTAAATGTATAGTGTATAAACGGTATAACATCTGGTTAACCAATGTTAACATTAGCAATGATGGAAAGTTTACTGAGCTATTTTTAGAATTTGTCTTACTCACTAATTGAATAGAGAAGGAAACGTATTCTTATTCGAAAATAGAAAAACAAATCTAAGCTTTTCTAATATCTTTTACATCAAAACATTATTTTAAACAAATAAATAATTTTTACCATTAGATATTACCGTACCAAAACGTTATGCAAAGAAAAAAAACAAAAGTAATCATGTTGTTGTATCAATGCAACAGACACCAAGTGAATCTGATTTTGTACCAATACAACAACCACCTATTGAACCTGATCTTACATCTGTTGTTTCATTACCACAACAAACATCAACTGAACGAGACATCGTACCTGTTGTGTCTCCAATACAACAAGTACCAATTGAAGAAGATGCTGTACTTGATATCTCTCCAATACAACAACTAGTTGAACAAAAACATGAATCTGTTGAAAGTAAAATTTTCATATAACTTCGTTTTAAAATTTTTTTGGAGAGCGATTTAATGATCTATGCATTGAAGAACTGAATAGTTCAAAGCAGAAAACATTTTTATTTTATTTGAACTAAAACCTTCATAAATAAGTATTGTGTTTCATTATCTGTTTAATTTAGTATCTCCACAATATGATCCACCAACAACTAATTTAGTTCCTGATTCAATTATTCAACATTTGGAAAAGTAAGTGTATATAGTTATCAATTTCATTAATATATAAATCGATTTTATATATACATAAATAAGTTTGTACCATTATTTAGTTTAAATATACAATGATCTTCAGTATTCATTGATTTTTCACCACCACCAATAACAACAACAATTCCTATTAATAGTCAAAATTTGTTTAATCAGGTATATTCTTTAGAAAAGTCATGATTTACATACATATTTATATTCTAGAATGAAAACAAAGATGAAAATAACGATGAAGCAGAACCGATATCGATCTTGGAAATAAGACAAAAGAACAAAGAAATTCTTGATGAATGGAACGAAAAAGTAGAGAAAATACAAGAACAGATTCGTACAGCAAATGAAGAAACACAGAAACAAATTCGTAAATTAAATGAAAAAACACAGAATCAAATTAATGATTGGAATCAGAGATGTCCATGGCGGCGCTGCCGCTGCCGCGACGCGACCGCCACGGCGGCAGCGGCGCGGTGAATTTTTAAAAGTATGACAGCAGCAGCGGTGCGGCAGCGGCAATTTATCAACTTTGGCTGTCGCGGCAGCGGTTAAAATTTTCGAAATATTTCTCCAATTTTTTTCGAATAAATCTTAAGGCTTGGAATTATAATTCTGTCGTGATTCAGATTAGTGAGAATGTTTTTCTCGAACAACAGACTTTTAAGGCTATTCCACCGACTAACAGAAAGAGACCTATTAATATTGTGTAAATAAATGATGTTATTTGAAAACATGTTAATAGCAGTTATAGAATATGTATGCTGCTCTGTTTTAATTGACGTACGTTTTTATCATTGTCAATCTCGTTTCATAGACACAATAAAAACAATATATGTTAAAAAAATTGATACGCGTTTTTAATAATGAGCGATGCAAAAGTCTTTGCACAAATGTCAAACCCTGTTAGACCATATTACCAACTTCGGAATCAATCAAATTTTTTTTGTTAGAAAGAGCAAAGTCTGAACTACAAATTTTGTATGAGACATATTTTTCCAGAATGAATCTGAGACGGAGGAAAAGTCAAAAAGCAAACACTTTCTAAAAAAGTTCTTGCAACTTCACCATCGAGCAACATCATTTTCTATTTTCTGTTAGCTTGTTTTATATTAGAAGAGGGGTGAGAAAACACGTTCAACGATGATTTTTGTAGTAAAAATAGTGCTCGTTCTAATGATGTATTGAAAGTTAAATCTACTCCTAGTCTTTATATCAATAAATAGCTTTTTCTGGAAGAGACTGACTAGGGAACCTTCCAAGGTGCGGGAGCGCTTTTCAATCGGGG